TATACAATTATTTAAAACTAATTCTACTATTAAACAAAAATACACTAGCAAAAATTGAGTAGTACAACTTGAGCAAACCATAGCAACCTATAAAAACACAAACCAAACCATTAGGTACAACTCACCTATTTTAAAAATCAGGACCAAACCGGACACTGAAAAAATCAAAATAAACCATACAATTTGATCTAGATCAAAGCAATTTTGTAATTTTTTTTTTTTTTAGCTGAACCCTATATCTAACCCACCTTACCCAACACACTTGCCTTCTCAAACCACATAAGTAGTTTTAGGTCAATTTGTGTTGGTAAGGCTTGGCAATTAGGTGATTGTTTTGCATACACATGGTTCAAAGGCATGAAAATTGTTCACAACAAACAAAACGACATGGAAAGAAATCAAGTTCAACAAGGGACTTGATGCAAGGAAATTCTAGTCCTTGCAGTCCATATTATAATTATTTAATCTGTTTAGCACCAAAGTGCAATCACAGCACTACGAAGCAATGCAGAGAGTCCAGAGAGGACGAGTGAGGAAGAGGCAAGGGAAACTCATATACTTATTGACGGTTCTCGACATCATATTTCATTTCAATAAACAAGGAAATACTAGACCGAAAGTACCTGACAAGAAGATAACAAACCTAGCCACAAAAATGCCAACAAACACATCATCAATCTAAAGAAATACTTAAAGGCCTGATATGGCTAGATGTTTTTCCATCAAGAAAGTAAAAAAAAAAAATCACAAAAAAATTAAAAAGCCAACAAATTCAGAACCATTAACACAAAATAAAATCATACACATCAATCAATCACTTTTACCTTCACAATTATCTATTCAACTGAAAAAGCATTCCAAACACATAAAACTTTTGTTCATCTCATAAATAAAAACAATAAAAAGCCAAAGAGCAAGTAAAAAAACCAAGTTGCCAAACAGCCACTAAAAAACATCAACCTACAGCAACACTAACAAAAACAAGGAGAACAATGAAATGCACAAACATAACAGAGGCTAAAAAACCATCCAGCACAAGCCACCATAAAACCTTAAGCCTGGACTTCACACTCCATTGGAGGAGGCATAAAGATATCCACTCAAGACATCCGCCCTTAATTATACAAGAAAGTAATCGCAACTAACTAGAGCACCAAACCACACACCACAATTTATAGTATGGATTGGTTAATATAAACCAATTGATCCAAGCATAGAGCAATGAAAAACCCTCCTACGCTTAACACGTAATTTCACAAAACAAACAAACACAACACAAATAAGAGGTCTACGAACTTAGTACAACACAACTGCTTTTCATCTTTCTCAAAAAAAAAAAATGACGTCAAAATTTTTTTAAACGACGAGCCAAAAAAACTAAGAGTTGCATATCAACATAGAACATGAATCTCTGAATCACAGGGTATGCAGCAGAAGATTGTTCCTATTAAAATCCCCAATCCTTGATCCATAGCAGAATCAGGTGAAAGGGAAAAACAATTTAACAAAAATGATAAAAACCGCATTAGAAAACATAGACAAGACACAAGTTAGCTCTGCTATTAGACTACAGGAGGACTAACATTCAGACAACAAATATCATTAAAATCCACTAAATCTAGGGTTTGATAATTACATTTAGGAACCAAAACATCAAATGCATGGAAGTAGGGGCAAAGTGGTGCTAGAATTACCACACAATAATTCACTAGGCAATCTAAGCAAATAGAAGGGATATTCAGCAATCAAACACCAATCATGATAAAAATACAAAATCAGTTGAAGAAGTTCAACAATATGATCTACCATAGTATTTCCTTACATTTCTATTCAGTGCTACAAACTGGCCAAAGGCACTGATTCATAATAAAATTAAAAAATTTCCCATAGAAAAAAAGAAAAGGAAACAAAATAATTGTAATTGCTAATATGCAATTTACCCCACTCAAGGTCTAGAAATGCAAAGCAAAATAAAGAATCACAATAACAAAAAGCACATGTCAAAACTTACCACCTAAATCTAAATGAATTATACACAATACAACAAATTTCAAGAACAAACACAGTTAGGACCTAACATACATGCTAGATTAGAGAGATTTTGAAATAAATAAAAACTAAGGTCCAAATGACAAACAAACCAGGAGGAGCAGGTAGATGGTATAGTCACAACCACAATTAAATATTAGCAGAAAATAGAGATGAAAAACCATCGGATAACAAATTCAACCCCATTAGAAAAAGGTCACATCATACACATCGATCAATCACTTTTTTCCTCACAACTAACTATTCAACTAAAAAAAATTACAAACACATTTTTTCACCTCATAAAAGAACTAAAAAGCCAAAAAGCAACTGAAAACACCAAGTTCCCAAACATGCACTAAAAAAAATCATCAACCTAAGCACAAACAAAAACAAGGTGAACATTGAAATACACGAACATAACAGAAGCTAAGAAACCAACCAGTACAAACCACCACCACAAACGTTGGACTTCACAATCCATTAGATACATCAAGACATCCACTCAGAACATATACCTATGATTACAAAAAAAAAAAAAGTAATTCATGGCTATGTAGAGTACCAAACCACACACCATAGCCACAGGAATTCAAGTCGCTATTTATTTCAACAAATGATTTATAGTATGGATTGGTTAAATCAATTGATCCAGGCATAGAGCCATGAAAAATCCTCTAAGGCTCTCCACGCAATTTCACCCAAAAAATATATATTAATACAAACAAGTCAATATTTTTTTTTTAAACAAAGAGCCAAAAAAAAAAACCATGAGTTCCATATCAACATAAACACATGAATCTCAAAATCTCAGAGAAAGCAGCAGAAGATTGTTTCTATTTAAAATATCCAATCCTTGATCCATAGCAAAATCAGGTGAAAGGCAAAAAACAATTTAACAAAAATGATAAGCTGCATTAGAAAACCAAGATGAGACACAAGTCAGCTTTGCTATGAGACTACAAGAGGACCAACCTTCAGAAAACAATATCATTAATTTCCACTAAAACTAGGGTTAGATATTTATAATTAGGAACCAAAACAACTAAAAACATCTAATGCATGGAAGCAGGGGCAAAGTGGTGACAGAATTACTACACAATAATTCACTGGGCAACCTAACCAGATTGAAGGGACATTCGCAATCAAGCACTAATCAGGATGAAAATACAATCAATTGAAAGTTCACTAATATGATCTACCATAGTATTTCCTTACATTTCCATTTAGCCCTTACAAGCTGGCCAAAGGTACCGATCCATAATAAAATTAGAAAGGAGAAAGAAAAGTGAACAAAATAATTGTATTTGCCAAAATGCAATTTACCCCATTGAAGACAAGATCTAGAAATAAAAAGCAAAATAATCACATTAACAAAAAGTTCACCTAAAAACTACATGAATTCTACATAGTACATCAAATTTCAGGAACAAAACAGTTAGGACCTAACATATATGCTATTTCAGAGAGATGTTTAAAAAAAAGTAAAAACTAAGGTCCAATTGACAGACAAACAGTTGCAGTAGGTAATTGGTGCAATATTAATCACAACCACAAATATTAGTAGAAATTAGACATGGAAAACCATCAGGTAATGTATTACCCAAGACAAAAAAAATATGCATTTCAGAATTAGAAGTCGACGGGGACTAATGATAAGCAGGAAGTAAGCATTTCCATGTCTATATCACATTATAGCTGCACCAGATATAAGCTAGCCAATGCTAAACTAAGAACACGGATGAATCCATTCCTCACAACATAAAAATTAAATAATGCAAGCACATTTTTGTGTCAAAATTCTCGCTCTACAGCTTTTACGTTTAGTAGCAGCCATACTCCCCAGATTAAAACTGTCTCCTCCAAGAAAATGACTGGTAGTGTTTAAACCACCATAGTATAGCTTTTAACCATGCGGCCCAGGTCATTTAAATGGATCTTTACTCTACTTTACTCTATCAAAGAAATAAACAAGAAGGAAAAAGTTTTGAAATGAACATTCATTTTTGGTCAATAGATCCAAAAGAGTAGAAGTCATCAGTCACTCAAATCACCATGAAAACTAAAACTACAGTAACGGCCAGGATCAGATCACATGCATCAAGACTCTGCAAATGGCAGAGTATTATAAGTTCTGAATCAATTCCAACAATAACAGTTAAAACAAAAATAATAATAAATAAAAATAACATGCAGTGGTGAGGAATGGAATAAACGAACGAGAGAAGGTGCTCAGTGTTTTCGGAATGAATTATAAAATTCACCTCACTAATTATCAGATTAATGAGGATATTATACACCTCATCATCACACCTTCTCTTCAGATATAGAGACTGATGGATATATACATACACATGTTCATGTGAAGTAGTATTTTCTATATATACATAGAAGGCAGGCAACAAACTGTACATATAATAAAGGCGAGTTTTTGGGCCCTCGTTGAATACACTTACCATCTTGAGCTTGGATTTGAGCAAGAATCAGGGCTTTCCTTCAATACAGTTTTACTCAAAGCCAAAGAACATAAACTAAAACAACCAAAAATTTAAAAAGAAAGAAAAATGGTCTGTCAAAAGATACGAATTAGTCATATAGACTAGGCTTCATTCAACTTCCGTGTGCTGATATTATTGGGCATTGCCCCAAGATACTTTTTTTTTTTTTTTTTTGATCGGCAAAAAGGAGACTTAATTGATGAATTATATGAAAATTTACATCAATAAAGAGGAGCTTGAAGCTAAAACAAGCTCCAACCTCCAAGTTGGTGAGAAACCAACGAGCAAAACAAACAGAGCAAAAACACCAGAAAAACCAGAAAAATAAGGCACTACAACACCTAAAACCAGAACAGGCAGATCAGATTTGTTTAAACCAACACAGCAGCAAAACAGATCAGAGATCAGAGCAGCCCTTCAAGCACCAAAACAGAACAGGCAGATCAGATTTGCCTTGAGCTACATTACCCTGAATTACAACAGCCCAACAGTCATACCAAACACATTGCCTTGAACTACAGCAGCCCTGAAAATTATTGCCATGATAAAGGTAAGGGCAGGGAGGACAATGACAACAGCAGATACAAATGTTGCTGATGTGTTCTTCAACCCCAAGTAGTATAAGTTCTGATCAATTACTGGCAGTGACCATGGCTGTTTGATGCTGCCTTCCCACACAGACTTCAAACAACGGACACTATGTACTCTCTACACCAGCAGGAGCAGAACCAGTGCCAAAATAGCCCCAAACTGATCTGAAATAGCAACATCACAGCAATACAGAGCAAACAGTTACTACCCCTACCTAAGCAGAGCAAACAGATCAGAACCAGATCAGCGCCAGCTGCCCTGCTATCCAATAGATTCCAGAGCAAACAGTTCCCACCTCCCAGTAGACCTCCCAGCAGCAAGCCTCACACTGATCTCCCAGCAGACCTCTCACCAAAGCAAACCATATTCCAAAGAAATCAAGGCCAAACTGATGCAGACCACCCTCCACTCTCACACCAATGCAAACCACATTCCAGAGATTCAGACCACTCTCCAAGAAGCATGGAATTGGAACCAGTCCAGATCAGCAGACCTCACACCAACGCAAACCATTTTCCAATGCAAACCAGGCATGGCTTTCCAGAACCCCTAATGCCTCAGCCAACACCCCTAATGCAGAACCTTACCTGCTGCAGATTATTCACAATATCAATTACTGAATAACCTGAGCAGAAAGAGCCAGCATCTTTGCTCCACATCGCAACTCGCACTTTAATGACCTCACACAGCTCCTCAAAATTTGGATGAATGTCATTAAAGATACAATCATTTCTTAATTTCCAGATGGACCAAAGCACAGCCAGAGGCATGGCTTTCCAGAATACCCTCTCTTGTTTTTTCGGCTTTGTACCAGCCCACCAATCTAATAGACAGTTCACAGTATTAGGTTGAGCCCACTGCAATCCCCACCATTTTAGCATATGTGACCAAACCTTCCAAACAAAAGGGCAAAGAAGAAGCACATGATTTACACTCTCCACTTCCTCATTGCAGAAAATGCAACTCACATTGGCCTCATCAGAGAGCACTCTAATTCGTTGCAAAAAGCTGGAAGTCTTTAGCCTTCCCTTCCATGCCAACCAACCAAAGAATTGAGCTCTAGGTGAAGAAACATTGTTCCATAACAGATCTGAAACCTTAAACACTGTACCTAAGGAATTATCGCACCACTTATAAGCAGAGGACACAGTGAAGTATCCTGATGGGTCTGCTTTCCAATGCAAAGCATCAGCCATATTTTCTCTAAGGACTGGAGCATTACTCAGCAGCAGTTTCAACCTATTCAAATCCTCCACCTCCCATTGAAAAAATGATCTTCTAAAATTGAGGTTCCACTCCACCTCACTATTTCTTCTGATATGCATCACATTTACAGAATCAAACTTTTCCAAAGACAAGGAATAGAGCCTAGGGAAAACTTCCATCAAGCACACATTATTACACCATGTACCTCTCCAGAACAGAGTGTTTTTCCCATCCCCAATCACTGGAGCAGAGTTTTCTTTAAAGAATTCCACCAGATCAGGTCTGGTTCTAGCAACACCCAAAATGTCAGCCCATATACATGAGATCCTGGGGTCATCGACAGGTTCTGGACACCACCCTACACCCACCTGATTGTATTTGTTATCTATCACCTGTTTCCACAGAGCATTAGGTTCAACCCCAAACCTCCACCACCGTTTCAATAAGAGGCAATCATTCATAAGTCTAATCCTTTTAACCCCTAGACCCCCCTGTTGTTTGCTTTTAGAAATCTCCTTCCATTTGACCATATGTATTTTCCTACTGAAGCCATCCCCACCCCATAGAAAATTGGATTGAATTGACACAAATTCCTTAGCAACCCTTGCTGGCATTTTGAACAAAGATAAATAATAAATAGGTAAGCTAGACAACACAGATTTAATCAAAGTCACCCTATCCGCAAAAGAGAGGAATCTTCTCTTCCAAGAGGCAAGTCTTAGTTTGCATTTGGCTAACACTGGCTGCCAAGTCTTCTTTCTCCTTGGGTTTGCACCTAGAGGGAGTCCTAAGTACTTTAGGGGCAAACTTTGATGAAGACAATTGAACTTATCAGCAAATTACTTGGATGCTTCATCTGTTAACCCAACTCCACACACCACACTCTTGTGGTAGTTAATTTTTAGTCCTGACAACACTTCAAAACATCTCAATATCCTCTTTAAGTTATTAACCTCCCCCCAATGAGCTTCACAGAATAGAATTGTGTCATCTACAAATTGCAGATCGGAGATCCTAAAAGCACTTGAACCAACTGCTGCCCCTTTGATCAACCCCAACTGTTTTGCTCTTTCCAGCAGGATATTCAGGCCCTCAGCCACAATGTTAAAAAGGAAGGGGGATAGAGGGTCACCTTGTCTAAGACCCCTTTGCAGGCTAAATTCTGAGGTTGGCGAACCATTTACCAAAATAGAAACTCTGGCTGATGAGACACACTCCCATCCAACTAATCCATTTAACCCCAAAGCCAAAATTTGAAAGCATAGTAAATAAGAAATTCCAATTGATTGAGTCATAAGCTCTTTCAAAGTCTAACTTTAGGACAATGCCACTCTTTCTATTCTTCTTCCATCCATCCACAATCTCATTGGCTATCAACACCCAATCTAAGATGTTTCTGCCCCCAATGAATGCTGATTGTGCAACACTAATAATTCTAGGCAGCACAGTTTTAATTCTGTTAGCTAATACTTTTGCCAAAATTTTATACAAAGAGCCAATGAGACTAATAGGCCGGTAATCATTCAAACCAGAGGGGTTCTCATTCTTCGCAATCAAAGCAACAAAAGAGCTATTAATACCTTTGACCAATTTTGCATTTTGATGGAATTCCTGCATGAATTGCAGCACATCTACCTTGATCACCTTCCAACACTTTTTAAACATCATAAGATTAAACCCATCAGGTCCAGGTGCTTTGTTTCCTTCACAACTCTTAACTGCAGCTACAATCTCATTTTCTGAAAACTTAGCTTCCAAGAGCTCAACAACTTCTCTATCCCCAATGGATACGAAAGGCCCAGATAGCCTTGGTCTATTACGCCATGGTTCAGTAAATTGGTTAATAAAATGTTGTTGAACTGCAGCCCTCACCTCCACAGGATCCTCCTTAACAGTTCCATTGACTGCTATTGAGCATAGAGAATTTCTGACTCTCCTAGAGCTGGCCATAATGTGGAAAAATTTTGTGTTCCTATCCCCTTGTGTTGGCCACTTGATTCTGGATTTTTGTATCCATGCCCATTCCACTATTTTACTTAGTTTCCAAGCCACGCCTTTAGCCTCTCTTCTTCTAGCTTGCTCTGCCATAGATAATGGTCTTTCTTCAGCACTTATATCAAGTGCATGAATCTCCTCTTCAACTTGATTAAGTTTATGCTCCACATCACCAAAGACTTCTTTAGCCCACTGCTTCAATGCCAGTTTTAGTATTTTGAGCTTCCGAAGACATTTGAAACCAGCCCAACCCACCACATTAGCTTCTAACCACGTATTTTCCACAAAAGATCTGAACTTAGGATGTAGGGTCCAAGCATTTAGAAATCGAAAAGGAGTTGGGCCGCAATCTCTCTCATCCTCCATCAACAAAATAGGACAGTGATCTGAGACCTTCCGAGGCAGCCCCCAAAACTTAAAATTAAACATTTGTAGCCATTCTGGACTAAGCAAGAACCTGTCAATTCGACTCCACTTCTCCCCCTCCTGAGAATTGCACCAAGTAAATTTTCTTCCCATCATTGATAAATCGACCACTTCAAGATTATCAATTAACTCATTAAACTCCCTCATACCTTTATCTCGCCTAGAACACCCCTTCCTTTCTGATATACTCATGATCTCATTGAAGTCCCCTCCCAAGCACCAAGGTTTATTGTATACCAGCTTTAATCGAGCCAAGCTATCCCACACCACCTTTCTCCTCCGCATATCATTTGGACCATAAATATTTAAAATCACACACTCAAAACTGTTATAGATAGTACCTGATAAAATTATTAAGTACCTGTTGCTGCAGCAATCAACCAATTGAAATACTTCTGGGTTCCAGATGCATAATAGGCCACCAGCAGCTCCTGCTGAATCAACTGCCATGAAATCCATTTGTTCTCTGCCCCAGATTGATCTAACAAACTTTTCATCAATTGTGGATCTCTTATTTTCTTGTAGTAGCACCATATCAACCCTTCTTTCACAAAACACTTGTTTAATCTTCCTCTTTTTCCCAGGCCTTCCTAACCCTCTTACTAGGGCTGCAAATGAACCGAGTCGAGCCGAGCTTTGCTGAGCTCGAGCTGGGCTCATTTACTTATCGAGCTCGTTTATTGAGCTCGAGCTCGGCTCGATAAGAAACTGGGCTCGAGCTCGGCTCGGCTCTGCTCGGCTTGATAAATTTTTTTAATATTATTTATATTATTTAAATATAAATATTTAAATAAAAAATATTATTTATATTATTTAATATATAAAAAATGTATTTATATTATTACTTCTATATATATTTATATATTATTTAATATATAAATAATATATTTATTATATAATTTAAATAAAGGTAAACGGGCCGAGCTTATGCGAGCTCGAGCTCGGCTCGTTTACTAAACGAGTCGAGCCAAGCCGAGCCCTTAACGAGCCGAGCCGAGCTTGTTCATGAACAGCTCGGTTCATTTGCAGCCCTACCTCTTACATTCCAAGATATAAGCTTCATAAAATAAACATTTTTCAACTCCTAAACACCCGGGGCAGCTGCTTAACTAGCATCTCCACCCCTATTCCTCATTTTTTCCTTGTCATTGGCTTCCAAATCCATTAATTTGTTAAGGACGACATCGTCATTTCCTTCATAGTCCACACCAAGGATACGCCCAATTTGGACTGATGCTTCAGCCTCAGTGAGTAAAAGTCTCCTATTGCTTGATTCAGATGCCGCTAAGAGTGAGAGGGCTGCCACCGCCGATCTAAACACTGCGCCTTTCTTCAAATTTAGAGAGGTCCCCGCCATTGATTTACCCCTTTGGAGACTACCTTTTTTCTTATGATGATTGCTAGAAAGACCGTGTATTTGCACCCTCTTGGTGGCTACCTCTTTTGAATTAATTCTGCAGAAGAACCCAAAATCTCACTACTAACCTCTCTTCCATTTCGGGCTAGTGTTTCTTCAACACTACAAGGTTGAATAGAGTCTTCTAAGTTGATTTGGGCCTCCAATGTTTTAATTGCAGGTGCTCTGTGGGTTTGGGTTTCCTCACCATTCAGTTCATGGGCTTTAGTCAAGACAACCTCAATGTTAAGCCCAGGCCTTAATAAATCAGATCCACTTAGACTTTTCAAGAGGCCTGGGTTACTAAAATCACCATCAACAGGCCTATTCATCCCATTTTGAACGTTGATAGAGCTCATCACCAAAGCTACCCCCCTACCCCCGCATGTGCCCCCAGAAATTGCTTTCCCCATGCCGCTGACAATTTGAGCCACCACAGACGTGCTCTTACAACTAGCCTCCCCTTCCCTGCCATTACAATCATCATTTCTTGGGTCAGTACACCTTACTGCTATGTCTCCATCATCGTCCACCTCATTGCCTACTAGTATCTCCACGTCATCATCACCATTTTCCTGCTTGCTCTCTACTTCCACCATCTGGGTAACTTCATCCCCATAAGAGCTATGTTTGACATTATTTCCATGTTGATGATGGCAAAAACAATGTTTACTCACCACCTTCGCAGTAACAATCTGATCTTCACAAACTTCTATCGGATAAAGTACCCCTTTGCAGTCCAAATTGATTGTTTTGTTAATGGATTCCATGCACTTCGTAACTATTCTTACCTTGCCGCAAATCAAGTTTTCCATATTGGATGTATCATCAGCAAGACCAGTCACGTCCCCCCATAATCTGCCTATTGAATAAAAGGTGTTGTTCCATACGTTTAGGGGCACCCCATAACAGCTCAACCAGACATCTCTTTCTTGTGCAATGGCCATCCCCTGTTTCCATTCTGTAACCGATTCAGCCCAAACCTCCATTTGCTTGAGTTTTTCACGCATGTTTTCGACCGATGGAAATGATAGAACTATGTCTCTACCCCCTCCTTCTCGAACTTCAATATCCTCCATGCCTCTAAACCTCAACTCTGTTTTGAAATCTGCCCCACAGTACAGCGGTTTTAATCGCACAAGGGCACTGTTGTACAACCATCCATTCCCTGCTTCATAAACTTTTACAGTTAAAGTTGCACTAGTGACAAACCCTTTCCCACTTACTACCTGGGCAAAGGATTCCTTACCTTTTAGCTTCCAAGACACCGTTCCCGTACCTCCCATTTCCTTTCTTTAGGTTGAACTCTGTAAAGGCCTTTTCTGTGCTTCAACACGACGAACAAACTCTGCAACTTTCACTGTTAAGGCTCTGTTGTCACACCACAATCCATTTGCTTTCTGGACGGCCATGTTTGCTGCGATTGAGCAATTATATCTCACGAACCCAAACCTGGAGGTCGTCAACTTCCTTCTCTTATGTGGTATGAACACGTCCTGCACCACTCCGAAGTGGGTGAACAAAGTATACAAGCCTTTTGGGTCCATTGACTCTGGTAGATTATCAACAAAAACCGTGTGGATGCCTAAATCCCCCCTCTGATGCTTATTCCCTATTCCCTACACCTCCATGCTTGCGTATCACTGGTCTCCAGCCGCCTGCTTCCATTGTCGCCCTTCCTTTGCTTGCCCCAAGATACATGACAGTTAATATCTCAAAGAAACTTGACTAAAAACTGTTACGTGTCCCTTGCATAAAAAATAAAAATGAGGGAGAAACTAGGGATAAACAACCAATATAGCAAAAGTAATTCATGGTGTACCTCTGACATCACTGATGAGGGGTTTTTTTTGTGTGCAAGGATGTAAGGACATGTACAACCATATATCTATAGCACATAAAAGATTAGAACCATACATATGCGCTCAAGTGTTCAAGTATTTAACAAAACAACAATGATTCATCCAACTAAAAACATTACCACTAATAGCACTAATGCATTAAAAAAGTAAAAAAAAAAAAAAAAAAAAACACAACTCCAAGACTAAAACATCACATCATTAATGACGGGACCCACTGCCACCTAATTAGTGGGAGCACTAATTAGTGCTCCTAAGCATTTTTCTTAACAAAAATGTGTTTTTCAATTCTATAAATGCTATCTAACATTTTTCGTCTACAAGTATGAATACTGACATAATTAAAATAATATTCACTAATGCTGTGTTTGGTTGGGGGATTTTGAGAGGGATTTGGAAAGGGAAAGGGAAAAGGTGAAAGAGAAAATGTGTGTGAAATTAGGTGAAATGTAGGTATTTTTATTCACATTTCACCTAACTTTTCCATTTCTCTTTCCAAATCCCTCCTCAAATCCCCCAACCAAACACAACATAAAGGTGAATGAGTTTAGCTTATTGTATACTCATTGAAAGTAGGGGTATGCAAAGTTCGGCTTGAGTTAGTTTTGGAGCAAACTCATCAACCAAACCACTTTTGACAGATTAAGAATTTTTCAGCCCACCACAGTTAAGCTTATTCTCTATTCGTTGAAAGTAGTCATATGCTTGGGTCAATTTGAGTTGGTTTTGGTGAAAACTCATCAACCAAGCCAACTTTGACAGATTGAGAATTTTACAACCAACCACCACACTGACCAATTCCCAAAATCGACAAGTTTGCAGAATATTTTAGCAATTCCAAACTAATAGTGAATGAATTAAGTGCTTTAAAAATATAAAAATAAAAAGTATATATCAGTGAACATACAAATTTATTTTTTATAAAATCAAACAAAAAAATTATTTATTATTCCAAATCTTGAGGTAAAATTAACAAATAAATCGAATCTAAGCTATTAATCCAAATCATATTACACAAATTAATATGTAAAATAATCAATTCAAAAATATATATACATATATACAATAAAATTGAAGGGTGGGATCATCCAATTAATGGTGATGGTGCTCAAGAGAAATTGCGTAGGCAAGTGGAAGATAATTTAGATATTGTTCAAAACCATATTGCACAAATTAGAATACAAAATAATCAAATTAAGGGGAAAAAATAGAATAAAATAGAATATCATCCAATTAATTGTGACGGTGCTAAAGAGAAATTGCGTAGGTAACTGGAAGATAATTTACTATTATGCAAAAACATATTACATAAATTAGAATACAAAATAATAAGAAATATGCAAAAAAAAAAATTGAATATCGTCTAATTACCAGAGATGGTGCTAAAAGTGTAAGATAATTTAGGTATTATTCAAAAATATATTACAAAAATTAAAATACAAAATAATTAAATTAAGAAATCATATGCAATAAAATTGAATATCATCCAATTAATGGTGTGCTAAAGAGAAATTGCATAGGCAAGTGGAAGATAATTTAGCTGTTATTCAAAACATATTACGCAAATTAGAATACAAAATAATCAAATTAAGAAACAAATAATTAGCATATCATCCAATTGATGGCAATGGTGCTAAAAGTAGAAGATAATTTAGAATTTGGGGTGATCATGGATCTGCCCAACTCGACCGAACCAATCCAACCTGATTGATTTTAGGCAGATGTGTATCTTTCAGCGGACGGATGCAGATAAAATATTTTGAAATCAACAGATGTGGCGAATCAACCATCCCCGCCCGCATAAACCTGTTCCACTCGTAGATAAAGTTTCAAAAAAAAAAATTACTAACAAGTAAAAACATTGAGTAAAAATAATAAAATATATATATTTTTATGAAAATAGAAAACAATACGTTAAAAATATACATGTGTGGTGCCATGGCCTATTATAGACAAATAATACATACTTTTTTCTTATTACTAGTTATTGGAGATTGTAAAAATTATAAATTAGAATTCAAAAAAATGCTCAAAATTCGTAAAGTCCAAACCATCAAACCGATCACATCGATCACAATCTGCATCTGCCAAAACAGCAAACGAATGCGGATTGATTTTTTTCAATCCACCTAATTTTAGACAGATGAGATGCCACCCGACCCAACCCGATCCGCAATCATCCTCATTTAGCATTTATTCAAAAACATATTACACAAATTAGAATACAAAACAATTAAATTAAATTAAGAAAAAATATGCAATAAAATTGAATATCTTCCAATTAATGGTGAAGCTATTATTCAAAAACATATGACGCAAATTAGAATACAAAATAATCAAATTAAGAAAATAATAATTTGCATATCATCCAATTAATGGTGATTGTGCTAAAAGTTGAAGATAATTTAGCTATTATTCAAAACCATATCACGCAAATTAGAAAACAAATAATCAAATTAAGAAAAAAATAAGCAATAAAATTGAATATCATCCAAATAATGGTGATGATGCTAAAGAGGAATTGCTTAAGCAAGTGAAGGATAATTTAGCTATTATTCAAAACCATATTACACAAATTAAAATACAAAATAATCAAATTAAGAAAAAAATAGCAATAAAATTAAATATCATCAAAATAATGGTGATGGTGCTAAAGAGGAATTTCATAGGCAAAGGGAAGATAATTTAGCTATTACTCAAACAAGTTAAACAAATCAGAATGCAAAATAATTAAATGAATAAAAAATATGCAATAAAATTGAATATTATCCCATTAATGGTGATGGTGTTAAAGAAAAATTGTCTAAGTAAGTGGAAGATAATTTCTCATATACATATAGACTAATTGATCAATTTATACGGGAGTTAACAGATTTTAACCCACAAAAAATAAAGAACTCACTTAGCCCACAAGTGAACTTGCTTTCCTTTTTGCAATCAGGACCAGCCCCGCCCTATGGCCGACTTTTAAAAGAAACGCATATGCATATTGATAGTTCTTGCAAACAACAAACTTTGATTTTACACGATGTGAACAGACTATTTTAGTAACTTTTTAGTTTTTTTGCTAAAATATAAGGTAAATAAAATTAGTATATTTGGAATGATTTTTTAGTTATTTACGAAAAGATGTTGAAAAAGTAGAGAGAATGGAATCTGACTTTTTTGTATAGTTTGTTAATTTTTTGACTTTTTTAATGACTTTTTGACTTTTAAGCTAAAACGTGATATTTCCAAACGAGGCCTAATTAGAGCACCAAACCACACACCACACAACAAGAGCATTTCAACTGCTAATTTGATTCAACAATTGAGTTATAATGTGGGTCTTATTGGTTAATATAAACCAATTGCCGAAGCATATAAAGTCATATGCATACACTTGGGAATTAGAAAGACTAGTATGCCCTTCATGTAATTTCACAAATGGTATCATCCCATCCAAGGAAAAAATAATACACATATGAGGTCATTGATTTTTAAAACAAAGAGCCAGTTCAATATAAAACATAAATCTCCAAGTCTCACAGTGAATGGGGAGGGTGGTACCCATGGGGAATAGGGAATGGGGAATGGAGAAAATTTATTATAGGGGAATGGCGATGGGGAATTAATATCCACCCCATTAATCCCCATTGCCATCCCTACTTGGGAATTAGAAAGACTAGTATGCCCTTCATGTAATTTCACAAATGGTATCATCCCATCCAAGGAAAAAATAATACACATATGAGGTCATTGATTTTTAAAACAAAGAGCCAGTTCAATATAAAACATAAATCTCCAAGTCTCACAGTGCAGCAAAAGATTGTTCATAGTTTGAATATCCAATCCTCGATCAATAGCGGCATCAAGTTCAAGGAAAATGCATTCTAACAAACTGATCAATCGCTTTGAAAAACTAAAACAAAACACAAGTCAGCTCTGCTATGAGACTACTACGTAAAAGAAACAACCACTAGTCAACAACATCATTAAAATCGACTAAATCTAGGGTTAGATAAATTATATTTAGGAACCCAAACAACTAAAAACTTTCACTGAGCAACAATCTAAGCAGATAGAAGGGACATTCAACAATTACAAATCATGATGAAAACATCATCAGTTGATGAAGTTCATTAATAGGGAAGTAATTATGTAACTGGATGTATCTAAAATATAAACAAAATTTACCACACACAAGATCTAGAAATACATAGACAAAATAAATAATCACAATAACAAAAGTACATGTAAAAACTAACCATCTAAAACTTTATGAATTATAGAGCATATTTCAACACATTCAATACCCAACATACATGCTAGTTCTATGAGAAGTTGAAATAAATAAAAACTAAGGTCCAAATGACAACAAACCACGAAGAGGAATTGGTTGATCGTGCAGTATTACCCACAACTAAATGTTAGTAGAAATTAGAGATGGAAAACTATCAGTTAATGTATTACTCAAGACAAAATTATGGGTTTCAGAACTTGGAATGTTCTTAATAATCAATGAGAGCTTCTCACACCCAGGAATCAAGCATTTCAATGTTCATACCACATTATAATCGCACCAGATATAAGCCAACGAAAGCATAAATTAGAACACGGATCCATTCCTGAAAACATAAAAACTAAATGATGCAAGCACAAACTCATGTCAAATTACTGGTTCAACTACTTCGAGTTAAGTTGCACGCCATACTCCCCAGATATAAAATGTTTCTCCTCTTAGAAAATAATTGGTAATTTTTAAACAACCATAGTTTAACTTTTATCCAAGGGATCCAAGCCGTTTAAATGAGTCAAATAATCATTTCATCGGTGACTCAAATCATAATGAAAACTAAAATACAATAACAGCCAAGATTAGTGGCATTGGTGAGAAACAGAATATATGAGAAGGTGCTCAGTGTGTTTGGAGTGAATTATAAAATCATCCTCAGAAAATATCATATTAACAAGATTATTGTAAACTCATCATCGCACCGACTCTTTAGATATATAGATTGATTTATACATATATATATATATATATACACACACAAAAGCACATTCATGTGTGTACTAATATTTTCTGTGTAAACACAGGCAGGCAACAAAATGTATATATCATAAAGGCGAGTACCCTCACCATCTTAGGCCCTTGAGCAGGAGTTACGGTTTTTTCATCAGTGTTTTACAGGGAGCTAAAACAATCACCAAAAAACATTTAAAAAAAAAAACGAAATGTTCTGTCAACGAGATCACAACCCCAATATATGAATTACGCAATCGGACATGGCTTCAGATGATTACCGTGTGCGGATATTAATAAGTTTCTTCATAAAGAAACTTAACAAATAAATATAATGCATCCCTTGCACAAGAACATTAATGAGGGAGAAGGTAGGTCAATAATAGCTATCACAAGTACGAACACAAGATATGAATGATTTAAGGAGGACAAAATTAAAATGCCAATTAATAATTTTTCAAAAAAGTCATACAAAACCCTAATTTCCAAGTCAGTGATTCAATGCTCATCTCAAAATCCATCAAAAACAGGAAGAAATCCATAGTAAAAACAAAATATCAATAGGTCTCATCAATCGACGCTCTGCATGATGTCCTCAGCGGTGAACTTAGTGCCCTTGTCCTTATCGGCGGCGGCGCGACCCTTGGCCTTTCGATCGAGGAGGCTCTTGCGGTCCTTATCGAGGCGGAGCTTGGTGATGAGGACCTTGGAAGGGTTGATTCCGACATTGACGGTGGAGCCATTAACCTTCTCTCGAGTGATGCGCTCGATGTGGATCACCCACTTCTTGCGGTACACCTGCACCACCTTGCCCTCGCGGCCCTTGAAGGTTCCTCTGACGACCTGAACCTCGTCGTCCTTGCGAACCGGCATCGACCGGACGTTGTACTTGGACCGGAGTTCCGAAGAGAGCGGCGAACTCATCAGGACACGGCGGACGCTCGACGGCGCCGTGAAGTGAGCCTTCCTGTTCTTCCGCCGGGAGCTCGAAACCCTAGGATTATACTTCATCTTCTCTCTCTCTCACTCTCTCTGTCTGTGCAACTCAAATGGCTTCAAGCAGTGAGGCGAGGCAAGGGTTTCTCGCGTATTATCGTGGTTTTTATAGTCCAGTGTAACCGCCTAAAGTCTGTTTACTATATAAAAACGACACCGTTTAAGAAACCACCGACTAGGGTTTGGGCCCCTTGGGCCAATTGTTAGCTGTGTCTGACTGTGGACTGGGTGATTTTATTGCACCCGAATAATAACTGTTAACTAGAATATCTAATTAAAATTTTAAAATTTTTATTTCTATTACAACTTAATATATATTAAATTTTAAAATAAAATATTAAAATTATCTTTTCAAGATATATCTAAATTATTTATGCTTATTTTTCATATTTAATTATTTTAATCTTCTTTTTTAAGTTTTAATTATTTTTCTCTTCATTTTCTTTTTCACTCCAAAATTATAATTTACCCTATTAAAATTTTCTATTATCATCAATATTATTATTTCTTATTATGCTGTTATTTGTTTTGATAATGAGATGAAAACAAACAATATATTACACTATATTATCAGCATTAACAAAGTAATAAACTAATCAGTCTGTAATATATATACAAAAACTTGTCTATATAAATACCATGCAAGTTATTATCGATATAATTGTGATTTTGTTATTACGACTCCTTCAGGTAGTGTTTGTTTCAAACTTGTTTAATTTCTGGCCATGCTTTATTGTTGCATATATGGCCTCCAAAAACTAACCAAGAAGCCCAATCTGTATCTCGATTTCATTCAAAGCGGAGGGAAGCAATCATTAGAGCATCTCCAATGTACTAGGCATATAATACTTGTTAGTTAAAATGTCTAGTGTGATTCACTTTTTTCAATTCCAATGCACTAGGCATATGATTAGGTATTTTGGCTCAACTCATATTCACTAGCTACATGTAGCTAGCCTTCAACGCTAGGCAAAATGTATTCAATCATTAGGATCATTTCCCTCCATCTTTGTTGTTGACGTGGCATTCTATAAAATTAATAGTGCTTGGATAAATAGCTAAAATAAAGAGCATGGTTGGAGTAAAAACATAAAACAGTTGATAAGTAAAATAAAATATATACTTTATAGTAATATTTAGATAGGGTTAAATGTAATCCTCTCTTCATCCCAAAATAATGATCTCTTTTAAAAATTTTAATTTTTTTATAGTACAATTATTATATTTAAAAAATATTATTTTTTCAAAATTACCCTTTGATAGTCAATGTATTTGATTTCAGTTTTTTAAATTCAGTTTTCTAAAATTTGGGTTTTCTATTTTTCGTATTTTTTGTTTTTAGTGAATATTTATAAAATTTTAAGCAATTTTTTTTACTTTTTTAGATACACCTTACTTAGATGTATCTAAATAGTAAAGGAATTTTTGGTCAAACCTCCTTTTTTGGACATTTTTTTAAGATAAAGGACAACTCAATGAATTCTCCTTCAAAAAGTACCTGAGTAAGAAAAGCCCAACTCAATAAGGACATTCTATAATTTGTTTTTTCTTTTTGACCATATTGCCCTCATATATATATATATATATCATATATTTAAACAATCTCAACTCATGCATAAAACGATCTTGAAGATGATCTACAAAGTGAAGATGATCTGCGAAATCCATGAAGACGATCTCAAAGTCTAAAAATCTCACTGCCGACGATCTCACCCTTGGTCAACAATACACGATCTTGCCATCCAAGATCAACACTCTCAATTAAATGAGAGATTACGTTGCAAAGCTGTATAAATCTGTTGTTATTTTTTATTTGTTTTTGTTGATTTGCTAAGTTCAATCAGGTGTGTGCTCTATTTTTGTTTGACATGATGAAAGTAAAATTTTACTCTGGTTTGTGCTCTGTTTTTGTTTGACAGAATGAGAGTAAACTTTTACTTTGGTTTGTGCTCTATTTTTGTTTCATAAAATCAGAGTAAAATTTTACTCTGGTGTTATCTATTATATTTTCTTAACATGCAAGTAAAATTTTACTTTATTTCAGAGTAAAATTTTACTGCATTTCAGAGTAAAATTTACTTTGAATTGAAAGTAAAATTTTACTGTGTTGTTGAATGTTCATCTATGCAGTTTCTGATTTGTTTTCTGGTAAAATTTACTCTGAATCTTCAGAGTAAAATTTGAATCTTCAAGTAAAATTTTACTTTATTTTAGAGTAAAATTTTACTGTATTTCAGAGTAAAATTTACTCTGAATTGAAAGTAACATTTTATTATATTGTTGAATGTTTGTCTATGCAGTTTCTGATTTGTTTTTTAGTAAGTATTTCAGAGTAAAATTTACTCTGAATCTTAAAGTAAAATTTTACTGTAGTGTTGAATGTTTGTCTATGCATAAGAGAATACACTTTATTTTTCATTAACCAGAGTAAAATTTTACTGTTGCGAAAACAGAGTACATATTAGATAAATGAATTATAGTCGAATTTTACTTTAGATCTATGAACAAACAAACAAAAAACTCTTGATTTTTTATTGTAATATATCAATTTATCATTTTTTTGGACATATATGAGGTCATTTTATCTCAAATCTGAAACTATTGATCTCAAACATGAGTTCATAGGCATCAAATCTGAGATGGTGATGGATTTCAATGGACGATTTCAAGATTTCGATTTTGTGAGATGGATCGAAAATGGAGATCAAAAGGGTTTAGGGCTTAAAAAGAGAGAAAATAAAGGGAAACAAGAGAATACCAATAATGTAGGGATAGAAAGGGAAGAGAAATGGTTCAGCGAGGGTTTTGGATTATATGGAAGGGCATTTCAACCTTTTCATCATATTTTTTTATTTGAGGGACTTTTGAAATTATTATTTTATTTGGTGGGTTTCACACAAAAAAACCCCTATAGAAGGGACTTTTCACCACAAATCCCAATAGTAAATTATTTGTGAAAAGATATTTAAAAAAATTAATAAACACACAAAAATATGAATAATGTACTGATTTTTTTTTTTATTTTTAGTATTTAGTGATTTTTTTAAAGTTTTTTTTACAAATATTATACTTTTTAAGTGTATTTATATTAGGTGTGTCTAAAAATTAAAAAAATTGCTTAAAATATCAAAAAAAATAATGAAAACAAAAAAATATGAAAAATAAAAAAGTAAAACTTTTGAAACCAAACAGAGTGAGTATATTTTTTTGGAAAATATCAATTGTCATCATTGTACTTTTTTTGTTATTAATTAATTTAAAAGAAGAGTAAAATAGTAAATTTATATTATTTTATTTCTTAATTTTTAAAAATAAACTAATATTTTAGGATAAAGAACTGATATTTTGAGATACAAGAAGTATCAATTTTTTATGTTTGTTCAGCATGTGCACTGGGCGAAGGAAAAGACATGTTTAGCCGGCGAGTAGTTGTAGTTGTGGTGATCAGCTTTAGTTTTATAGACAAAATAGAGTGAAGCAAGATTAAAAGCAACAGTTATAATGAAAATTTTGTTTATGTGTTTTTGAAAGTGATGTTATTTGAAATTTTTGATTTATTTATTATTTTGATATATTTTGAAAAAAAATATCGAGTGTATTGAGAGTAAATTATAATTTAAAATAATTTAATAAGATATATTGGGAAATTAGGTGGACTTAATAAATTTTTTTTTATAAAAATATAACCTCTTGTGAAGTAGATCAAATGTAGTGATCGAGTCATGAAGGGTTTACCTATGGGCGTTTTTAGAAAAATATTTTTCTGGGCCTTTGAATAAGGAAGGACTTTTTTTATATTGGGCCAATAAGGAGTTTGGCCCTGGGACATCTTCCAATCTGGGTGCTTAGGGGGAATCAGGATCCTCTCTTTGAGGTTTTTACTTGACTTTTTATTTGATGGGTCAGTGGGCCTACTTTTAGGCTTAATTTTGATAATCTGAATCGTCAGATTTTAATATTTGTTGAGTATATCAAACCTGTAAAAAATCAAGTTGATCGGATATCAGAAAATATGTGTTCGGAAAACTAACTAAAAACTATTTTTTTTAAATTTAATAAACAGTTTTCCGAACACATACTTTCTGATATCCGATCAACTTGATTTTTTACAGGTGTGATATATTTAATAAATCTTAAAATTTGAACGGTTCGAATTATCGAAATTGGGCCTAAAAGTGGGTCTTCATCTTCTCATCATTGAAGACTTATTTCAATTTATTATAATCACCTCATTGTGGCCCCCCAAATAAAATATAACTTCATCACCAACATGATATCTGACGGCATAAATTATTTGTTTTAATCTTTGTATCATTTCTTATTTTATATTTTTAAATCACTAATTGTGATTATATAATAATATAAGATAAGTATGAGATGAGTCAAAAAATTGACCAAATTCCATTCTCATATCTAAGGTTGGAAACGAGCCAAGTAATAGACTATGTAAATTTGATAATTTAATGAGTTTAAAATTATGTTAAGTTTGACTTGTCCATATAACAATTAAAAAAAAGAGCCAAATAGTAGGTGATTTAAGTTCGATTTAACAACTCAACGAGATTAAATTGTATTAAGTTTGACTTATTTACTTAATGAGTCAATTTTTTAAAACTTAACTTTCAAATAAAGGCTAACAGATAATTCCAATCACTAATTGAACTATATTTACAAGGTGAATAATTTATCAACACAATAACAGTTCATGTGGGGATATATTTTCTGAGTACCAACACGTGGCAAGGTGACGCCGACGTGTCAGCCGAGGTGCCACGTGTCTTGGTCGTTGTGCCGAGGTCATCTCGGTTAGGCCGAAGTTGCCTCCGAAGATATCGGAATCCGAGATAAGCGGATAAGGGACAAGAGTCTTAGAATAAAGAGGGAACTCAACTTGGATATGGGCAAGAGTCCTAGATTGAAAGAAGACTTCAGTTTGGGTAAAGATAAGACTCTTAGAGAGTTTATCCTAATCCCACTAGGAGTCCCAGATTAGCAGTAATCCTAAGTCCATTAGGGCCAGGAATATTACTGATTTTCAAATACCAAACCAAAAACCATTAAGGCATTGACTTTGTCGAGTTGAGATTTT